GGAGAATAAGTGAACAAAAAATACAAGGAGCTCATAGAGTGACTTATCAATGTACATGAAGACCGTTAGCAGTAGATGTTATATTTTCAAGTCAGAACACAAATGGTTGCTAGGCAATTTGAGACATTATTATTTCAATAAACAAACCCATCGATCTCTGAACTAAATAAAATGATTATTTTGGCTTAAATACTACCTGTGTTCTTTTCTCAGAGAATAAATCTGGAAGTAGAAGAAATTGATTTAAGAAATGTCCTTCTTTCCTGGAATCCATTAATCATTTATAATTTATCAGAAGAAGAAAACTGGCTCCAACATGGAAGAGAACAACTAGTTAAAATTTAATAAACCTAGTGACTGAATGCAGGCCAATGCAGGCCACTAAATCACTGTTGGCCATTTTCTATCTGAAAACATCTTATCTAATAAGATTCTGATTTATGACTTGAGATTGTGGTAAAAAGCAAGTCTTTTCAAAGCAAGATTTTTTTTTAAAGTTGTGATAACACATCTCAGATTCCAGTACAAGTTAGCAAAAAGCCAGAAATACAGGCATTATACTTCTAAGATTGAGTAAGATAGAATTTCCAATTTCTTTAAGTGTTTATCAACCCTGTGCATATGAGATTATATATTATACATACATATGATGTAAAACAAAGTTACAAATTGGTGTCTTAACTTGAACAAATCAATATTTTATTATCTTTAGCAAGAACCACAATGATAACATGATCTTTTTGACACACTTTGCTTAAACTCTGATAGGAATTACACCTTTTCACAAAGTGTGCAGTCTGGTTCTATTATCATCTCATCTTTGATTGGTAGAGTTAATTTAGGTGGAATCTCCACCTAAATTAGACAACCAGATGCTTTCTTCTCTGGGGAGCAATACAGAAACAGCCTGCAGTTAGAAGCAACAGATTATTTATTAGAGACAACTTGTTGTACCTGGAGCAACAAAGCTTGGTCCCCCTGAACCAGATCTACTGATAATGGTCCCTTTACAATTCTATGAAATAATGTACCTATTTATACAAATTCCAATTGTCTATTTGAAACATTTGGTGACTCATAAGCTTTATAAACATTCACTTAACACTTTCTGTGAATCAGGCAATGTGCTCAGCACATTATTCCATTAATCCTGGTAACAGTCTTATGAAGTATTATTTTAAGTAATTTTTTCTATCTTACTAATGCAGATTCTGAAACTCAGAGAATTTAAGTAACTTGTACTAAGCGACACAGCTCATAAATTGTACAAATGGGATTTGAACTCCGGAGCTCTTGACAGCTACTTATGCACATTCTCTTCAGTTGAGCTATCCTTTCCTTGAAAAGAAATGCCTTAGTACTTTTTATAGTCAACTAAAAAATAATCAAGAAATAATTATTTGTGCAACAAATAAATCATTGTGAATAATCAATAAGTATGTATTTAATTATATGTCTTTTGACTAGATCAACATAGACTCAAAATTCTAAGTATACAGAGATATGAAGCCTTTTCCCCACTGTGTGCTCAGTTCTCCACCCCTACCTCTCCACAGAGGCTAACCCTGGTGGGCTCCAGAGCGCAATCTCGAAATGATAATCAATGTATATGCTGACATGTGTGCATATGTATTCTGTTGTCTTTTAGGATTTTTGCCTTTGATGTTGTGTATAGTGTTTATTTTGTGGGGGGTGGTTTGACTAAGAAGATTTTTTTTTTTATGTAGTCAAAATTCATCACTCTTTGCTGTGAGTTTGTGTCATATTTAGATGGACCTTCCATGCTCAAATATTATGAATGATTTTCTCATATTTTCTCCTGTTTGTGGATCCCTCTATTATATTCCAATATTTGTTTAATCTGTAATTTATTTTGGGATAAGAAGTTAGGTATGAATGCCACTTAATTTTTTTTTCCTCAGATAACTTCCCAGTTGTTCTAATGTCATACTAATGCCATATATTTAATAATTTTTTCTATCTTCACTGATGTGTAATACCAGCTTTATCACATCAAAATATATTTAGGCCAATATCTTGATAATAGTTATCTAATATAGACCAGGCCAGGATCATATCATTTAAAATATATGGATTTATAATATGTTTTAATATTTGACAGATATTTTGATCCTCATTCTTCTTGTTTTGAATTTTCCACGATAATTTTCTCTTTTTCTATTTGAGTTTTGGAAACAGCTTATCTAGTTTTTTTAAATGGGAAGAAAATAAGAAGAAAAAATATTTTTTGTAGTTTTATTGGAATATTAATACAGTTCTAAATTATGGAAATCACTGACTTTTTTATGGAATCTTTTTATTTAGAAATAGAACATGATTTTCATTTTTCCAATTTTTATTTTATAACCTGAAAGTATTGTTTGGAATTTTTAATGATATTGATTCTATTACTTATTAAATTTTTCCTTAGATATTTTATCTCATCATATGTGTGTGGTTGAAATTATGTGTGATATTTTTCTTCCATAATATATTCTAACTGGTTGTTATTTTTATAGAAGATCACTATTGATTTCTGATTAGTAATTTTTACACACCTTATCGATAGCTACTTTCTGATTGATTATGCACTTGTAATTATCCTTAACAAAGTCATTTATTTTTGCATTTGGAAGTTTTGAGGGCTATCAGAAGAGTAAAATTTAAAGGCTCATTTCCAGCCCAATTCAATTCAACATCATCAATTCATTATTGAGTGTTAAATATTGCTATATTCTAGGTGCAGTAGCCATACATTAAGTTTATCATCTAATGAGGCATATATACACACACACATATACATGCATCCATACATACATACAATACAATACAAGGTTTCTATAAATGCTATGAAAGAGGTAGAGCTGGCTTGCAGAGTTTTGGTTTTTGTTTTGGAGGAAGAAGGAATCATGAAACAGGACCTGCAGGTTGTAAAGAAATTTGACAGGCAGAGATGCAGGAGTGTGTATGAAGGCCATACAGGTAGAGGGTGATACGTAGGAAAAGGAAAACACAGTGCGCATTAAGGGAACGTTACAGGATTCCGTTTGGTTAGACTAGAGGATGTAGGAAACAGAGTCAAGGGAGAAAGCGGAGCAAAGGCGGGAAGGGACGATTGCTCTGTTTATATTCATTATGGTGGGAGGTAGGCAGTCACTGAAGGCTCTTGGTCAGGTGACTGTCATAATCTAAGCTACATTATAGGAAGATTAACCTGTCGGAACGGTTTGGAGCAGGAAGTTACTGGAGCGGAGGGAGATAGGTCAGCAGGCAGTGCAGACAGTCAGTCTGGACAAGAAATAAGGGAGCCTCCCCCAGCGTGTTGGCAGTGGAAATAGAAAGAAGGAATGAAATAGAAGTGACACTGTGAAAACAGTTTTAACAAGCTTTGACAACTGATTAGATAAGCCGATAAAGAGAATGAAGTAGATTGTCCACTTTAACTGGCTGGTGGTCTGCTAGTGTGATTGACGATAGCTGGTGTGTCAAAGGGAGAAACTATTAACAGGAGAGAAAAGGTCACAATATCTGTTTTTGGTATGGTCATCTTGTTATAATAATTATTAATTATTTACTGAGTAAGAATATTTATCTTTGCTTCAAGTTAAAGCATAAATATTCCTTTTGTAAAGATTTAGGATTAAAGCGTTAACATTTCTTTCAATCTAAATATATTTCTCTTACTAATATATTTAACCAAAATCTGCAGTAAGCTTGGTTTCAGAGGATGAAATGAGAGATAACCAAAATTAGGGATAATAATAGAGCTGACACATGATTATAGGTTATCAATAAGAGATGGTGACAAAGTGTTTGCCCAATATACCAGGAAGCTATAAGGGCACAGCCAAAAGGCTGGTCTTTCCCTAGCAGCTCACCTATCCTTTTGGCTCCCACCAGGCCCCAGCTAGTCACACAGATGGGAGGTGCCCTTTTCTCACCCCGACCTCCTGTATCCAGACTTTCCCTCGAGGTGACTAGATGGAACCTCAAAAAAACAGAGGGGGCTCCTGATGTGGCTCCCCTCTGCGGCAGATGTGGTGCTGTGCCCTCCAGTGCTTTAAGACAAAGGGAGAGTTGAGCGCAAGAGCTCACTGAGCGCTGAGAGCCTATGGAAAATGTCAACAGAGGGGCGAAAAGGGTTGAAAGGTACAAACTTCCAATTACTGAATGAGCAAGTCCTGGGTATGTAATGCACAACATGGTAATTACACTTAATAATACTATATTGTATATTTGAAAGTTGTGAAGAGAGTAAATCATAAAAGCTCTCATCACAAGAAAAAATATTATGTAACTACATGTGGTGATGGATGTAGACTGGACTTATTGTGGTGATCATTACACAATATAAACAAATACTGACTTATGACGTTGTACTCCTAAAACTAATATAATGCTGTGTGTCAATTATATCTCAATTTTTTTTAAAAAAAAAGGAAAAAGATAATCAACACAGAGGGGCAAGAATATGTTTCCAGTGTCATTTGTTTTGGGAACACTAACAAATTGGGACCTGGGAGAAAGCAAAGTCTCCTCCTGCCATAGCCACAGGTTAAAAAAATAATTATGTGACCTAACCCACAGGCTAAGAAAGGACTTGCAGTAATTTGGGTTATGGCACCAGGCTCCATCTTAAGGTTGGATGGGGTTTGTTCTGGTCGAGGTCAGCTGGCTGGACTTGTTCTGGTGGAGGTCAGCCCTCTGTGTTTGCTTTCTCATCCGAATACTGGAAGAGGTTGCATCACGCGACTTCCCAGGCGCCCCCTCCCTCCTCTTAGCCATTGCTCCTGTTTCCGTAGCCTTTGCAGATGAATTGGCTGCAGTGGGGAAAGGGTGAACTGGGCCAAAAAAGGAGGAGCTTAAACCTGTGTGCAAAGTCTGGGAACCTGGCTGAGCATAGGTTGGGGGCCAGGATGAGGAAAAAGAGACATCCTCCACCTCCTGGTAAGAAGGTCCCGTGACCAGCTCCAGCCACTGGCAGTCCTGGCCATCCTCAGAGCTTACATAAAGGGACAAGTGGAGCCCAAGAGGCCACAGTGCTCATACTTACTGGGTTGGAGCACAGGGCACCCCGACATCATGAGTTGGTCCTTGCACCCCCGGAGTGTAATTCTCCACCTCCACACGCTTTTATTGCTCTCTTCAACCTGCCTGGCTGTAAGTGTGCGCTTCCTGAGGTGTATGTGTTTTAAATGGAAAGCTGAAAAATAAGGGAAGGTATGATGAACTAGTGACATTTCTGTATTTTTCTCCTCTAGTATGTTGCCACCAGAGACAACTGCTGCATCTTAGATGAAAGATTTGTAAGTAGTTTTTATGTTTCTTGCTGTGTTTGGACTGCAGAGGGGCAGAGGGGTAAAAGGAATTCTCTCACAAATGTTATTTGGCATTTTAAACTCTTTTAACGTAGTCTAGCTTTTACCTATTTTTACTAATAGATTTTAAGTGTTGCTTGTATCAAGATTTTAAATCACTCTGCTGTTGAATTTTCAGGGTAGTTATTGCCCGACTACATGTGGAATTGCAGATTTCCTGTCTCAGTACCAGACAAAAGTAGACAAGGATCTACAGTATTTGGAAGACATCTTAGGTCAAGTTGAAAACAGCACATCAGAAGCCAAAGAACTGATCAAAACAATCCAAGTCAACTATAATCCTGACGGCCCAGCAAGACCAAGTGAGGAACTTAATAATACTGACTAATAAAATAATTTATAAAGTTCTTTTGCTGTTGTTTTAGTGGTTCTATTTGCCTAAGCATTTTTGTCTCTGGTCTCATATTACAGATAGTGTAGAAAGTGCTACTAAGAATTCCAAGAAAGTAATGGAAGAAATTTTGCAATTCGAAGAATCAATTATGTCACATACATCAAGTATTCGGTAAGCATTTTTGTTTTAACTTGCTCTCCAAGGGTGATTCAGGTTTTATTTAATATTGCAAACTTCAGTGGAAGTAATTTTTTTCTACTTCTAATATCTAATTGGCATTATGCCTGACCATCTGGAACACAGTGGAGATAGCATTTTAGTGCAAGGTGAATCATACGGGGTTATAATTGCTTTTTAACAGTCATATGGGAAAACGGGTTCTAGATGTCTTCAAATGGTCTAATGAGCATATTTACCAAAATGTGTCTTTCCTCCACCTTCATTTGTCTTACAAAATAAGTTCAAATGGGAATTTGGATGCAGAAACTAAAATTCTCTTTATAAGATTGTCAACAATTGATGGTGAGGAATAAGCAGAGGCAAGGGAAGGATATTGGCTACAAAAGTTAAGAGACTGAGTGTAACAAACATGCTGAAGCTGTGTGTCCATCATAGTACAATGAGCCTGTGGTTACTCTCCGCCCTTCACTTCAAAGTAAAATGTCTCTCTTAACAATTCCCCAGGGACTCATTAACTTCCTGAACATAGGGTCTCAGATATAGATTTAATTTCTTCCTCAATTTTTATTTCTATATTGTTTTCAAAGCAGCTTAAGAAATAGCAACAAACGATGGCTAGAAGTGGCCCAGGATGGATTTCTCCTCTTTCTGGTGTGAGAGAGCCATGGGTAGTAACATTATAAGTTGCATTATTATTGCCCCTTGTTGAAGTTGAAAAGACTAGTATGCAGACATTTTCTAAGGTGTAGTAGAAGAAAAGAGTGGTCAAATACTTTTTCTCTCCTTCTTCACAGAAAGAAGCAATAGTCTGTGTACTGAAGACAGTTTTCTTTCATTTCTGAACACACACAGCAACCCTGTAAAAACTATGAGTGCAGGGTTTTTTATTTCCCCCAGCCTTTTTCTAAAGCTATGTAAACAGAAATATTAAGAAGGCCGGGAAAGTGTCTATTGTGTTATTATCCATAAGATAATGTCCCAGATACTTCTCCACATAACTTAGAGATTACAGATCTTAAATAGGTCCTCAGTAGATCCACAAATAAAAAGCCTAATTCAGCACATGTGAATGAGAGAGCAGAGCCTTCTTATCCCTAAGAGTATCCAGCCTGAAGAATGATCATCAGGCAGCCTTCCTAGTAACCAGCCTCCTCACTCAATTAGGTCGTTATCTGCTGCCCTTGGTACAGGTGGTACAGGATGACCATGGTTTAATGACAATGGCATTGTTTCTGGACAAGGACCTTGCTGTTTTCTTTTCAAGAATGCTTAAAATTTTAATTCACCTCAACTAAGCAACATCATTTTACAGTTTTCCCAAGAAATGGAGTAGTTTATCAGAAAGTCATTCTCAAAAAGATATGGTAGTGTTTTTAAATAGAAATACAAAGTTACACTTCTGAAGGGAATGCTCTGTTATCTCATTCTTCTGCTTGCAGATTTTTGCAGGACATATATAATTCAAATAACCAGAAGATCATTACCCTGAAACAGAAAGTAGCCCAGCTTGAAGCACAGTGTCAGGAACCTTGCAAAGACACTGTGCAAATACATGATGTAACAGGGAAAGGTAAGTGACAGGTTGACTCGGGGATCGCCGTCATCACAGCTAATACAGCAAGAAAAGATTTCATAATCTGGAATGTATAGGAGTAACTTTGAAAGTGCCTCGTCATTAAATCTAAAATGTCCGATTGCTTTGACTTTTCTTGAGTAGCTAAAATAGTTTGAAAGGAATGATGATGTGAGAAGTAAGAAAATGCTACTTGGAGAATGAATGGTTGATAACTTGTTAAAAGCTCACGTCCAAGGCTAGAACAGTCTCCCCTGGATTTCAAACCACAGTAAACACTTATTTTTCTTCTTCAGATTGTCAAGATATTGCCTATAAGGGAGCCAAAGAGAGCGGGCTTTACTTTATCAAACCTACGTCAGCTAAGCAGCAGTTTTTAGTCTACTGTGAAATTGATAGCTCTGGAAATGGATGGACTGTGCTTCAGAAGGTATTTTTCCCTCACTCTGTGTATTTAATAAACACTTCTATAAGCATCTGCCTTACCCTGGATACTTTTCTAAACGTCTTGTGAACAGTAATTTGATCCTTGTAACTTCCCTGTGAGGTAGGTACAATTATTATCTCTATTTACAGAGGAGAAAACTTAGGCACAAGAGGTAATGTAATTTGCCTAAGATCCTATAACTAAGTAGTAAGTTACCGAGTCAGGATTTGAACCAAGGCAGTCTGGTTTCAGAGTCTGTGCTTTGACTCCATGCTCTACTGTCACTGCTGTTGTAGATACATGATAGCACGGAATCATAGTGACAAAAAAAAACAAAACAAAACTAGAAGGGACTTGTTTCATCACTTAGATCAAGACCTATGCCTGCCAATTCCCAAAAGATAATATCCTCCAGGGGATAAAGTTGGGCTGTTCCAAGAAAGGACCCCCTGCTTCCTCTCTGCCTGTCCCTGGCAGCTGCTGCAATCCTTTCCTGTGTACTGCTGACCACTGTTACAGCCAATCTTGCAGGAGGCGCTCAGAGGGCATGTTTGGTGGAACCTCTGGTTGGCAGATGGATTGAGCAATGAGTTGACCTTTCCACCATCAGTACAAAAATCAGCAAAATCAGGCTGAAGTTCTGAAGTCCTCCAGGTGCCTTTTAAAAGCTACCACTAGCTCAGAATTTACCATGTGCCAGGCACTCTTTAAATGTTTCTTTTACATCCTCTCATGTAATCCTGTAACAACCCTAAGAAGTACACGTCACCATTCTTATTTGACAGATGAGAAGACTGAGGCAGCTTGACCAAGGTCATTTAGTTAATAGGTGATGGGATCATACCATCCATATTTTTCAACAAATGTTTGTAACGTTTTCTCTATGTGCTCTGATCGTTCATTCTCTCCTTTTGCCTTTGCAATTGTGTACTCAGAGGCTTGATGGCAGTGTGGATTTCAAGAGAAACTGGATTCAGTACAAAGAAGGGTTTGGACACCTGTCTCCTACTGGCACCACAGAGTTTTGGCTGGGAAATGAGAAGATTCATTTGATAAGCACACAGTCTGCCATCCCATATGTATTAAGAGTGCAGTTGGAGGATTGGAATGGCAAAACCAGGTACTGTTTTAGAAAGGGCTTCTTGTTGTCTGAATGTTCACTTTTCAACCATCAATAGGGACAGCCTGGCAGATGCAAAGAGCACATGCAATCATTTCACCCAGAAGTCGTTTTGGTTCTTGAGCAACCCAAAACGACAGGTCCTATCCAGCATGGATCTGAATTTTTTGGTATCATCAACTTACCCTGGAACCATACAGAATAATCACTGATATTTACTGAGCATTTACTATTTATCAGAAATCAGGCATGAAATTATAAGTTAATCTAGTCCTAATAACTCTTTCATGAGACAGGTAATATTATTACTCCCATTTTACAGATTAACTTTCCAAGGTCACATTGCTGTTATAGCGTAAAGGTTGGACTTGAACATAGGTAGTTTGACTCTACAGATCATCTTCTTAAGACTCTCCAGATTGAAAAGCAAATCCGGCCTTTTGAGATTTCCTGGCTACCTTAAAATTAAATCAGTGAGCTCTTTTAGTGAGATAGAGCCCCTGCTGTGCTCAGAGCCATCTGGGGGTTTTGATCATTGGATTCCTAATGAAAATTCAGAAAAAATATATCCAACTCTCTTTTTATGAAATAATGAAATTTGTGTCCAAACACATATTTTCATTTTTTAAAATTTTTACCCAGACAGTACCATAGTCAATACATCTGTTCCTGTGAAAACATCTTCCATTTCACAAGTACTGGAGATCAGGGAAAAAGCTAAATATTGTCTGAAAATCTCTGTTCATATACCACAGCCCATTCTTCCCTGCATTCCATAGAACTGTGGACCTCGTTCATATTTTTTCCCCAGGGGAGAATCTCTCTCTGATCCTTCAATTCATGTTTTGTAGGCCACACAGGGCCCACTTCTTTTATGTGACACTCTAAGAAGCCCTCCTTATTGCCACTACCCCATTGCCTCGGGAAAGAAAACTTTCTTTAGGACTTCACCCTTCAGACTGTATGAGTAGCTAAAGGGGCTGTAGCTCCTTTAAGTTTGGTGCATTAATTAATGGTCACTCACTGTCAGCTAATTACTGTGGTTTATGATAACTATGTGAACAATGCTAACCACTTCAATGAAAGTGAAAAATACGGAATCAGTCAGATTCATCCACACATCTGGATTTGATATTAGGATCCTATAGACAAAAAAGCCATTAAAATGGCTAAAGTGTTTAGTTTTCATTGAAATGCCGGGAAGGCTTCTAGACCCATGCTGGGTGGTGCTGATGAGCTCTGAGCTGGTTTGTCCAGCCATCGCCTCTTGCCAAATTTGCAAAAGACTTCATTCAATGAGCACATTTCAGACTTAAGAAGCAAAGTTAAAAATTCCAAATAATTGTCCTGTAAAAGAGGAACTTTCTGAGATCTCTAATGAAGCTCAAGATCTGATGTGCCTATTTCTTTATAGTACCGCAGACTATGCCATGTTCAGGGTGGGACCTGAAAGTGACAAATACCGCCTGACATATGCCTACTTCATCGGTGGAGATGCTGGAGATGCATTTGATGGCTTTGATTTCGGTGATGATTCTAGTGACAAGTTTTTCACATCCCACAATGGCATGCAGTTCAGTACCTGGGACAATGACAATGATAAGTTTGATGGTAACTGTGCTGAACAGGATGGATCTGGTTGGTGGATGAACAAGTGTCACGCCGGTCACCTCAATGGGAACTATTACCAAGGTATGACTTTCTTCCTTAGATACAGGGGTTAATGTGTCATCTATATTTTTATAAGAGGTATAAATAAATAAAAGGAAATAAGAAATAATTAGTAAAGATATCAGTGGGCTTATTATATAGTTCTTGATTTTAAACCAGAATTGGATAATAACTATGCTTATACCTCAAATTCGTCCCTCTGCAAGAACTCCACCTGCTGCAAAATAACCATGGTTTGTCATTGCACCTGAGATTACCACCATCAGAGTTGACACTCTGGATTAGGTATGTCCTCCAGCTTTACCATATATATGGTCTGGATGGACTAACAGTACCATATTTATGCTTGGTAACACATTAGGCTGGGCCAGCTTCACACAAGCGGAGTATCAGATATAACCAGTGAGCAGCAAACTCGTGTCTGGAGGAATGAAGCAAAGAGCAGGAAATTGTTGGTAAGGACAGGGGTCCCTGGAAGCTTGAGAGGAGAAGAGGCCAGCCTAAGGGTCTAGACCCTTTTTTAGGATGGGGGGAAGGCAAGCAATAGTTTGCTCTAAGGCTGGAGTAGCTATGAACACTGATTTTACTTCCTGACAAACTATTGTTATTACCCACCAGCTGCATGTGGGGAAGCCCTACTGATTGATGCTAAAAGACCCATTAAGATGAGCAGTCACCACCTCAGGGCATTGTCTTAGCCATCAGAGAGCTTAAAATCCTTTAAAAAGCATTTAAATGTACTTTTTGGGTTTCATGAGTTTTTAAAGAAACCTAATCCATCTTTGCACCTACAAACCATGTAATTAGAAGACATTCTCAGGGAAAGAGTCTGATCCTTATGAGCCAGAGTGGCCATGTTGACGGCCAGTACTGGACCCAGACATTCCCTTACAAAATTACATGAGATCTGCTGCCCATGGACAAGGAGAAGGCAAGTCAACCTCATCTCCACTTTATAACGGAGATGTGAAACAACATTCCAGAACCGCTTTCTGAAGTCTCTCATACTTTCTAGTACATTGTGTTTTCAGATGACTTGAGACCTGATCAGGAGCTGTGACCCCTGCCCTTCTAACCTACTTGCAAAAGGATGGTCCATTAATAGTTGAGTCCAGGATGGTCGTGCTCTGGGAGAGAGACCAGCTGGGGAAATGGGGGTTCTACTCCTTTCAGTAGTGAATATATTTAAAGTATTAATGTGACCAGAAAGTACAACACAGATGTAACGGGTTGTTTAATAATTCATTTATTTTCATTGTAAATGGAGATTTTAGGGATATTTTCAGTTAGCTGATAACACTATAAATTTGATGTGACAATGGACATCATAATAGACAGTTCTGTACAGACTCTCTGAGGTAAGGAAATCCAGGAACAATGATATGTCCATCTACAACTTGTTTTAGGTGGCACTTACTCAAAAGCATCTACTCCTAATGGTTATGATAATGGCATTATTTGGGCCACTTGGAAGTCTCGTTGGTATTCCATGAAGAAAACCACCATGAAGATAATTCCATTCAACAGACTCACCATTGGAGAAGGGCAGCAGCACCACCTTGGGGGAGCCAAACAGGTCAGGCCGGAACACGAAGTTGAAATAGAATATGACTGAATCATTTTACCCTGAGAATTACTGTTCATGTCTCAACCCACAACATTTCAGAAACTTTTCTGACAGTTTCTTTTCATTTTCTCTCACCATATTGATCAATTTTGTCTTGTATTAAGAATATTAAACCTTAAATGGAAATTATAAATTAGTTTGGACTGTATTCCCAAACTACTGAACTCAGAGTTATTTAAAATTTGTTTATTTGATGTGATAACATTTTGGCATATTTCCTAGGTGTATATGAAATAATTGCCTTTTTTTTTTTTTACATTTTAATGATCACATGCTGCTTTGTCTTGGTTATGTTTAAAAATTATGTCTTAAATATTTTTAGTATATATTAACTAAATAGGAGTAAATTCTAGCATTTCAAATGCCTAAGTATTTTTACATGTGTCTTATCCTAAATACTTTATATTTAATTATTTTTAAATGGAGAGAATTATATCTTTTTAATATATTTTTGTTTTGGTCATAGGCTGGCGACGTGTAAAAGACCATTTCAAAAGTGATTTACTTTTTTAAAAGGACTTTATCTGAACAGATAAATATAATATTTTTCATATGGGACAATGGACTTGTAAAGCCTCACTTCGTTTTAAGAGAGAAAAAAAACCCATGTTGAAAACTCCACTGACAGTTTTATGCTGGTGATGATTTTTCTACATGCCATTTCAATAAACATTTTGTTTCCTAAGATTAGATACATGGTACTTTTTATTGACCGTTATAAATCACCACTATTCTTCAATCTAGTAGTTACAGTTGGACAATCATCAGTAGTTGCTGAGTCATCACTTTATACTAAACATTATACTACCTGTTGGGGAGTTAATGGAAAAAAAAAAAATCATGACTTTTTCCTTCCAGGGAATATAAAGGAAACACAGAAATATATAGTAACCCAAAGTGACAAAATTTGATATAAAAACATAAACACAAGTCATAATCACATAGCTAAGACTCCAAGCACCTGAAGTGCAACTGGAGACAGGAGAGCTGTTTGGGAATTCTCCCAGCAGAACCCTTTGGCTCCAGACCCCTGGAGCCAGATGTGGGCCCTCTGCAAGGACCAGAACTCAGAGCAGAGAGCTTTGGGGGACACTCTGCTCAGTCCCTCACTGGTAAACAATGAGGTCAGCAGGGTGGAGCCATTACTTCATTCTGAATCTGGGGATACTGAGTTCTTAGCAGGCAGAAATCAGAGGGCACCAACTTTCTGTAAGGAACGCTTAAGTCTGTATAAGCTGGCGTGAGATTGACCTTGTAAAACAATTGACTAATTCTATGAGGGGAGGGGAGGGGAGTTTTGAAATCTGACCTTTGGCTTTGGATTCTCTTCTTTTCCATAATTTCTTTTCTAATTGTCTCCTTTCCTTGTTCTCATGAGTCCTGATTTTAAAATATCCTATTGAGATTACAGTAAATATACAACTAAATACTTGCAAGACTTCGGAAAATAGGAATGCTTGTTGCAGCACTCATTAATTCATGTATCTATGAAGGACTGACACAACTAACATTTACTGAATACGTTCGTTGTACTAGCCACTGGGCTGAATGCTGGGGACAGAGTGCACAGCAGCACCCCCCTCTCTCCCAGACCTGCTCTATTCCGTCCAGTTCTCAAGTTCCAAACAACCAAGAACTCATCCTCTGGTCTTCCTTATCTTCCCTCCCCATGTCATCAAGTCCACCTCTAAATATTTATTGTAGTCGTTTCCTTTTACATACTCACTGCCACATTCCAGATGGGACATACATCTCTTGCCAGGATAATGGTGCTCACCTTCTTCCCATCGTGCCTCCAGCCGTGCCTGCGCCGACCTTGACATGCTCCGAACCACTTCTAAACTCAGAAGGCATTCAGTCTACCCTGTAAAGTCCTTTAAGTGAGCAATTTTGTCACAGATAGGAAGAGGTATATAAACATCGATGTTTTGATGCAGTAATATGATATCAGTGATTCAGCCCCAGGAAATTATTTTTAAAAAAGAATACTAAACATTATGCTAGATTCACAAGATTTCAGAGATATGAATATAGCCATCTATTTAATGACAGTGGGAAATTTAGAAATTATTTAGCAGTGGAATAATGCACAATCAAGGTAGTTTATTAGTACAATGGAATACAAAGCAATGACTACATAATTAGCATTATATCTGAATATGAAGATGGAAACATTTACAAAGTAAGTGAAATTTTAGGATGAAAAACAATTCTACAATGATAATATAAAAAGTTATATGCATATACAGTTCAAACAAAGTATAATCTTGACATATATGCATTATTTGTACATATTTGTTCTCCCCCAACCGATATATAATGTAAAATTTAATAAAAATACTGAACACTAAATATAAAGAAGCTCAAAATTTTCTGTTTTTTCCCATGGTCACTTGTCCAATGACCCTTCTAAATATCAATTAAAACATTTTTGAGTCCCCTGTTTCTGTGGGTATCCCAAGTATGTATTGGGTCTGCACGTTGGGAAATCCAGCATTGACTGGAAAGGCAGAGCTTCTAACATTCCCTTTATACACCCCTGAATTGCTTGACTTATTATAATCAGTACATATTAATTTTGTAGTTAATTAAAAAACCATATGAGGTAGAGAAAAACATATGGACTCCAAATTTTACTTACTGAAGAGCTACAGTTTAAGCATTAAAGTGTGAGAAATATTTTCAGACTCAAATGGATCATGTCTCCACAAATAAAATGGAAATTGAAATGATTTTCTTGATCAATTAACTTTTAGAAATCGACTTTTAAGTGAAGCAAAGGCTTTGGGACTTCGTGGACTGATTAATCTTCACAACTCAAATCACAGATAACTATTACCCAACCCTTCCCTTTACTTTCCCAGACAAAAAAAAATCTCAGGTCACTGCAAAATAGGGTGGTTGAGTACAGAGCAGTGTGTGCAGTTACACGCTTTGAAAAACCTACAGAGGAAATCTTCCAAAAAGGCGAGTATTGGTACAGATATACTGTTACCATGACTTCAGGTCATGCAACTACAAGGCAGTGTTCCTTAATCACCAGAGAGGAGTAATCATTTATTGGACAAATATCAAGATTTTTAGATATATCTCTGAAGCATTACAGCTTTTTTTTTCAATTCTCCTTCTGTTTATCAGTTATACTTTAAAGACGATCTTTCAGATGTGTAGGTGCGTTGAAAATGAGTGGAAAATGAAGAAATATAAGCACAGACAACATATCTGAGATCTTTGCAAGATCTAAAATTCTTCGACTCTGACTCTAATCAGTGTACACTAGCTGAGATATTTATAGTAGGTGCCTTGGGTTTATTTAGATGATAAGGGTAAAAAGCAAAGTACATGTTCAATCCAGGGGAAAAATATCTACCTGAGGATTTCTTGTCTGTTTGATGTAGCTCAAAAACAGAGGGGAGAAACAAGTTGATGGTAATAAGACAAGTTTAAGTAGATGGAAAATATTGAGTTAGTGACAAAGAGACCGAGAGTGTGGGAAATGTCATTTCATATCATTTTTTGCTGTGTGTGCATGTGCTTCTGTTTGTGTCTATCCCTCAGGAGTAGAAGCTGAATTGCCACACTTCTAGTACACCACCCTCATTCATCTGTGCTTGGTCACTCTCTTGATTGATTGATTCTTTTTTATTCAAACTTTTTTTCTTCCCTTTGTCCCCATAATAAACAATCATTCCAAAAGATTTGATGTGTGTTTCTTTATTTGTATGCATTCTTATAAATCATGGATTTTTCTTTTGAGTTATGTATTTTTGAATTACATAAATGGCATTATGCAATAAATCAATGTTACTTAGAATGCTGGTCCTCAAGTTCTTTGTTAGCAGTCTGCATTAAGATAAGTGAAATAATGGAACATAATCATGTAGAAATATTTTCCTAAATTGTGTTTGTTCTTATTATATTTAAATGACATAAAATATAATTTTATGACCTTGGAATCTAATAATAAAAACTTGGGCTTGTATTTTTGTATATACTTTCTTTTTTAAATTTTATTTTTCTAGTAATTAAATTTTATAATCCAATAGGCCTGTAATAGGTTAGAAATTAAATAAAAGTAGTCTTCTACTATGAATACTTTGAGAAACACTGCTAAGGTCTTCATTGTACTCAGTAATATCCATAATCTCTTTTATAATTTTTCTCGATTTCCTTTGGAATCCAAATCTTAAAGCAAATATCATGTGGTTCCAAAGCTTGTGGCTATTAAAACTCTATTTTTAATTAATATCTAAATGTATTGCATTATGGTCAGAGAACATAAACTTGAAGATATTAGTTCTTGAGAGAGAGAGATTTCAGGAATTATTTTGGGACAAAGAAATTATCAGAGAATTAATTGATCCCATTAAAGTGTGTGTTATATAATCAGTCTCCAATAATGGTCTACCTAACAGAAGACTATTAATAGTATTTCCTTTAAGAAGGAAAACAAACCAAAGATAGAGAGATAATTACTGGCTTTGTAAACATAAGCTTTGGCCCGAATGGTCCAGTAGCCATGGTCCATCATGAACATTAAAGATAGGTTTGACCATTGGCCTGTAGAACATTCCTCTGGATCAGGTTTGAAAGCTTTTTGGGAAGGCTGGCAGCTGTCACAACTTCAAGCTCTTGCTCATCTCAGCCTCATTGGGAAATTATTTGAAGTTACGGTAAATTCAGGATCATGGCATTTAATCAAGTCTACCATTGGGCCAAACACATGTTTCCCAAACAAAAATTCCGTGTCCTTGTTCCCTACTCCCATTTCCCAGGCCCTCATCTAGGTCTCTGACTGCTGGTGATTTCAAGAACACAAGTGACCTCAGCTAGATTGCTGTCCTCTCTAGATAAATTTGAACATTGACTCTCCTTAAATCAACAGAGTGGGCAGATTCCAGGCAGATCACTCTGTGATCAAAGTGGCCTCTTTCAAATCCTCAGAGACAAGTAGTCAAAGTGTGACTTCAAAAAAAAAAAAAAAAAAAACAGTTAAGAGACATTGGATTGGAAATGTTTTCCTTCCTAATATGCTCTCCTTACTTCACAAAGCTGTGGCAAGGCTTGATTGACATAACACATGAAATTGCTCCAGACACAAAAACAGAATTGAATTGATTTTTGCTGTTAATATTGGTATTTCTGTATGGGATTTGAATCCAATGTTGGTTAAGTTTGGAAATATAACTTTGAAACGTTAATATTTTTGTGTTTATTTTCAATAACCTTTTCATTTTGAAATAATTTTTTATTTATGGAAAAGTTTTAAAGATACTCTGGCTTCCTATACCCATCACCCAATTTCCTCCAGTGTTAGCACCTTACATTACCATGGTTCATTTGTCAAAACTAAGAAACCAACTTTAATAGTTACTATTTTCTAACTTCCACACTTCAGTCAGATTTCACCGGTCTTTATACTAATGTCCTCTCTCTGTTCCATGATCTCATCCAGGATACATTACATTTAGTTGTCACATCTCCATAGCTTTGGTAACAGTTTCTTAGTTTTCCTTGTTTTGAATGCTCTTGACTCTTTAGAAGAGTATATTCTGGTATACTGGCCAAGCATTTTGCAAAATGTCCCTCAACTTGAGTTTCTCTTTTGTTATTCTACATAATTTTTTATTGAATTGTATTTAAGCAGAATTTTACTCAAATACCTTTTGTAAGTTACCTTGGTTTTACTACAGGACAATTCATTAAAAATAGGTTCCAATAAGAACCACAGAGAATTAAATGGTTCTTGGTAATTAAATTATCCCCTACTTTTCATAAAATTCCTTGCTGTGAAGTCTAAGTGCATCACAGATGCTATTTCCCCAGATCTCAACATATCACTATTAAACCGATACCACCTGATAGATTTTGTCTGCTAAACTTTAATAGAAGAACCACAATGAAACCAGCAGAGGAGCATGCCAAATTTAAGGGATTTAAGGTGTATGATCCTAGAATGAATCCATATTGTAGAAATTAACACATCAATTATTCATCCATATAATAGAATTACTTTTCAAAAATAGCATTTATACTTTAATAAATGTTCAATGCAAAACATTTGATAAATCAAGTTAAATTTAGTAAAGCCTATTATAAGTAAAATTGGTTTATCTTAAAAACTCAATTATTTAATTGATAATACAGTCAGAAATAAAAATATTTATTCTAAGAAATAAAGCACTGAAAAACTCAGGACTTACTTCACTTTCAACTCCCTCTCTCTCTCTCTCTGTGTCTTTCATATGTACACACACATGCACACACTCATAATTACTCAGTGGAGGCTTGATTAAACATGCGTAAGGAAAAGACCATAAAAAGTATGGATAAAAACCGCAAACAAGAATGATTATTACAGTATTAGAAAATCTTAGAATTTAATCTCAAAATTACTAAAAACTAATTTAATTAAATGACCACTAATCTGGGCACAGTTCAATTATAAAAAATAAGTGAATTTCTTTCCCAAGTAAAGATTTAAAGAGAAATGCAGTATGACAGAATCAAACAAGATAAAAAAAAATTTCCCTCCTCCCTCCCATAAGTACAGTTCAGAATGATTTTCGTGTATTTTAAGAAATTATCATCTTCTCTTGACGTCTATAATTTTCTGGACAACCATCTAGAGTCAGGGTAGAGATGAAGTCTAAAAAGAAAAGTTCCATTAGTTGCTCTTGCACAGATCATCATACGAACTCATTCACCTTTCCCAGAAAGCAGCTTGGTTAATAACAAACTTTTACTACACCCATGAAATACAGGACACAGATACAGAAAATAAGACAAAGCTCAACAGCCTTGCCAATGTGTTCCAGGCAATCCTTTTGAGGCCAGTGGCCGTTGCAAAAACCTGAGGCAAAGGCCCCAAAAAGAGGATTTTAAATGCCAGAATCTCCTAGATTTTTATAATTCATGCATTTCAAAATTTAGGAATTAATTTAGTACTTTAGTAATGTATTCAATACCATTTTAACAAAATATTTCCTGTCAAAGTGCCATTACTTTCTTGTTGTTAGGACAATAATAAATGTGCATATTCATATACATTTTTATGCTAGAAGACACAATGAGTGTTTTTTCAGGAGCATCTTGCATTTTTTGGCTGGCATTAAATCTGATATTTTAAGGAACATTTTACACAACATGTAATGGAAAACAATGCCGAAGTGATATGTCACTCCCTGTTCTGTGTTCTAACAATATTTTGAATCAACTGCACAGAAGTTTCTCCATTGTTTTGTGTTAGATTAAACCATATAAATTGCAGATATTTATCATTTTGATCTACAACAATGGTAATTTTCTATGGTTTAACTTCTTATCTTCATATGCACTTGATTTTCTCAGCAGTTGTAAGTGACTTGAATGCATAAGACTATGTTATTTCTCTTTCTTACTCAAGAACATAGCATGCAGGACTGACAAATAGTAAACATACAGGAAATGGTTGTCACATTTAAATGAGTAGATAAGGAAGTAAACTGCTCTCAGAATTCAATACATTTAAAATCAATTGGTAAAGAAAAAAATATTCCTCCATTTTCCTAGGAAAGGACAAATACCTCATTCACAAGAAAGCTGAGGGTTGTTGTTTATTTTTTGTTTTGTCTGTATTTTTAAGTTATGTTTATACAATGGCAAATGTTTAGATAACTGGCTACATATTTTAGTCTTCTTTAGTAAGTTTTCATAGGTAGGTACAGTTTAAAACCCAAACATATTTACAGTGCCAGAATTTCTATTCCTTTTACACACATTATTCACCATGCAAATGAAAACTTTTCCAGTCTTGCTAAATGTGATGGCATAACAAATGTGAGAATCCCTGCATGTAAATATTTATAATTTGTGGAACATTATGTTAATTTCAAAAGGATAAATAAGTAAAAAATCCTTTTCATGATTAAAATGAAGGAAAATAGGATATAATCTTCTCGGAGAAAAATGTAGACATTAGGATTCAAGAAAATGGAAATTGCTCAAATAATTTTTCCATTTTTACTCTTTTTTTTTTTAAAGTAGGTAAGTTTTTTTTTTTAAATTAATTTATTTACTTTTTAAATACATTTGTCTCTCATTTTTACTCTTGTAAAGATATCCTTATTGTCAAATGCTTTTAAAAAATGATATTCCTGGCATTATTTGTTGTTTATTCTTCTGCATGGCTTTCTGTCTAAACAAAACCGACTTTTCCATAGCAGGTAACATGGCTCGTGCCGAGGACAGAGGGACCAGTCTGGGGCTCAGGGCAGAGGGACCAGGCCAAGAGAGGGCCCCACCCAAGGGCCCGGGTAGGGAATCCTGCCACTGGAGAGCTAACATGGCCACTTTCTACTTGGAGGCATTGGGACATTCTAGGAACAATAAAAGTTACCATTCTTGGAGCTTATAATGTATATATCTCACATGTCATACCGGGCTACAACCCTGCAAAATAAATACTGTCATATGTATTAGTACTTGCTTGCGTGGCATTGGACTAGACAGTATGTTGCAGTTTCATGCAGCTCAGTGTGGGAGAGACATGAAATAAACAAGGAACTTCCCAAATCTCTATTGTCCAGCCACGATAAAGAACTTTAAAGTAACACACAACCAGGCTAAGGGAATAGCAGCTGAGGGTGGCTGCTCCGAAGACGGCGTGGCCAAGGGGGCCTGTCTGAGGAGGTGCCCCCTGAGCAGAGGCCTGGATGAGGTAGGAGAGTCAGAGGTGCTGATACTGGAGAGAACCATGGATCAGCAAGGATGAAGCAGGAGACCGATTTATGCTAAAATGGAGCTGTTTTTTTTACCTGAAATTCGTATGTAAATTGGCATCCTGGATTATTATTTGATAAATCTGGCGACTCTCAGCAAGAAAATTTTGAGATGGAGATGAGAGCAGGGGAAGCACATTAGCGTGCCCCAAGGCATAGACGCAGAAAGAAACGGTGTATTTCCTGACATTTGATGTTCTCCAATAATTGTTAACATGTGCCGAGTACTGTACTTAGCATGTGACAATCACCGCTCTGAGGGCTTTACAAGGATTCATTCATTTATTCTTCATAAAAACATGTGTGGTAGGTTATCATTATTCCCATTTTAAAAATGAGGAATCTGAGACATAAAGAGGCAAAGTAATGTGTCCGGAACCGCAGAACTGGGAAGTGTTGTAGCTAGGATTTTAAACCTAGGATGTTTGGAGTCAGGGGCTGCTGTCTTTTGGATAGAGAAAAAATTACCTGTTCAAAGTAAGCTTGTACAAGGCCTTCAGTCGCTTTTTTAAAAGTCAGATCATCCAGCCATACATAATTCCTACCTAAAGTGAAGTATCCTTTGTCAAAACTCTGCTTCACCACGGGTTACATACCTCTGGCTTGCCTCAGCAACTCCATATTCCTTCAAGTACTCAGGTCTAGGTACGTCCTATGTTCCCCTTTGGATTTCCAAAGTCACCATGTTCCTGGAATGTGGGATCTGCCTCTATCTGTTGCTGCCTTTGCAGCAGCTTATTGGAAGCAAACAAATGTGGGGCAATTGAGCAAGAAATTCTGGAACAGCAACCTTGGAGAAGGAGCAAGGAATGTGGACAGCATGTTGACTGTGTAAACAGGACGAAGATAATGATTAATCAAATTTGCTGCAGGTTTAAATGAGATGGGAACTAGGAGTGGGGGCCATCCTCCCTTCTTGCTGCTGGAGCGCTCCCCGCGAGCCTGCTCCACCCTCAGAAAAGATGGGTTCCGTGAGGATCTTTTGCCTGGTCCTGAGTGTGGTGGGCACAGTTTGGGTATGGTTTCCTTTGTTTTCTCTTCTTGCTTTCTTTCTGGTGTTTATTTCACGGAGGGCTTGCAGGTCCGAGTCAGCTTTCCGTGTGTCTGCACACTGGTGGCTCTGTGAGCCCTGGGCTACCGAGGCCAGGTCCCAGGTGGTCTGCGCACCTCAGGAGGGCAGGGCAGTGTGGCCCAAAGAGGGAGACCTGGGGGGAGCAAAGTGTATCAGCTCAAGGGGGGAACTTCAACATCTGTAACTGAAGCTTACAACATTGTGGGGTTTTTTGTTTGTTTGTTTTTTAAAGGGAAGATATTTTTGTTGCCATAAAGCCTTGAGGTAGTTATTGCTAGTTAACAGAACAGAACATCCACATCTATTATTATTTTCTTGCTATTTGTTCAGAACAAGCAGAAGAGTGGTTTCATATAGTTTTCCTGAAAGATTGTTTCGGTGTTTCTTTTAAGACAAATACAAAGCAAATTAGTTGTCTTTGCAAATATATTACATAGCAAAGTCAGATGAGACTAATTAATTAGGTAATTAATTATGCTTTTTGGAGGCAATTATATTCTTTTAAGACAATTACTAAATATTGTGATAACTTCCAAAGTTTGACCCCAGAAATCTATAGAACTTCATTCAACAAGCCTTTTGAAACACTTTGATCTTATAAAAAAAACATAATAAACATGTTTGAAAACTAGTTACATCCAGGCTGTGAATTATTCCAATTTCTTTCTTTTCCTTCACCACTCGTAAGGCTGAATACAAGAGTAGGAAAAAACCAAAAGGGGTTTCTAACTTAATTTTCTCCATTGTAGTAAAATAATAAGTACACATTTTTATGGGAAATAAAGCTAACATAATTTGCTAAGATAATATTTTGGATAATGTAAAACTTTCAGTTATTTCTCCCTGTTACTGGCATAAATATTTAATTTTTGCCTGCTTTCATTCTTGTGTCATTTTATTTTGGAGTATGTTTGAATTTATCATCTTATTTCTTAGACAAAAAGATCGTATTTGTTACCTTAAATGCATTGTTCTTGATTGCTTGAATTAGTATTAATATTATTATTATTGAGATATTTTTAAAATGAGATGACAAATGTTAACTAATTATAAGACTAAACTATTCAAGCTTAAAGAAGTCATAGTCATGGACAGCAGATTGTGGGGGATGGAGGTGGAAGAGGGAATGAGGGGAGAAATGGTCATGGAAAAAATACACTAAAATAAAATAGTCACAGCAAAATCCTTGTAAGTTGGTGGTACAAAGTCAAAATAGCTTAAACTTAAAACCTGCATTGATTTGTTAGCATGTAAAGTCTTATAAGAAGAATATTTTTGTATCTGATTTTACCTCATAGATCACAATAGAAAAATTTTTAAGTCTGAATTTCTAATTATAAGGCATTCGAAAAAGTTGTCAGTCATGAACCATTATTTATGCTTTCATTCTACTTTTCCTCATTTCAAATACAAAGGAACTATTACATGAGTAAGCAACCTAACCTAAAAAGCATTTCTGAATCTGAACTAGCCACATTTGTGTCCTTGGTAATATTTGCTCAAATTATGGACCCCTAAGGTCGTAGTAGAAACTCAGTAAAGGAAATTATAGGAGAAAGAACTTTTTAAAATTTCCAATTATCTATCTCCAGACATTAATGAAAATTTAAAAATAAAATTTAACTAATTTTGTTCAATCAAATAATTTTCCTATGGAGCCTTTAAAAGGCCTGCCATTTATTAAATGATTTAATGTCAAACACAGTTAAGAAATGTCTACACCTTATCTCCTTTAATTCTTACAACTTCATAAAATGGATATTAGGGTTTTCATTTGAAAGATAAGAAACAGTTCGAGGGGAGTTGGGGATGGTGGGATTGAGCAAAACAGAAAAGAACCCATGGACAGGGTGATGCAGGAAAGGAAGGTGGGCGGAGGTAATGGAAAAAAGTACAATTAAAAAAACTATTAAAAATTAAAACAAAACAAAATAAAATAAAAATAAGAAACCTGAAGCCTGTAGAGCCCCAAAGCTGGCGCACGTAAACTCTGGGAAAACCTCTCCTCTTCTCGGGGTTTGACAGGCATTGCAGTGTCTTTTCCTTATCTGCTCACTGTTCCTTTCTTTTGTGTGTGTCAATGAATCCTTGAAGACTTCAGAGACCGAGCAAGGTAAATTTGTAGCTGAAGGAGGAGGTGTGCGTGGCCCCAGACTTACGGAACGACAGCAGTCTTCCTGCAGAGAGGCAGACTGGCCCTTCTGCTCCGACGACGACTGGGTGAGCAGTGGGCACGGGAAAAGGAAGGGTCCTCCTTGAGGTGGTAGAAACGGCCACAGGCTGACCTCCATAGGTTACAGAAAACGTTCCTAATGGAAATAATCGAATAGCTCCTTACATGTCAAATGAAAAGGAACCCAGTCCTGAGAACATTATTTAAATTACTTCTGATATTCTGGTCATTAGTGGGATTAAGAAATTGAATTTTGATTGCTTGTTCAGATAGATACTCGGGATCTGAATATTATGACCTTAAGATTTCTGGGGATCTAATTTATGATTGAGAGAGTCCTCATTCCAGGATTTTTCTCTGATCTCTGACTAGTCCTCTTAAACAACTTTTAAATCAATGGATGATCTGAAAGGACTGGGAATGATAGGAGCTTCATGGAACCCAAGAGATAGACACTTAATGTAATTTTTTTCTTGTCACTTTCAGAACCAAAAATGCCCTTCTGGCTGCAGAATGAAAGGGTTAATGGATGAAGTTAATCAAGATTTTACAAATAGAATAAATAAGCTCAAAAACTCACTATTTGATTATCAGAAGAACAACAAGGAGTCTAATACACTGACCAAGAATATAATTGAACTAGTAAGAGGGGATTTTGCCAAGGCTAACAGTAAGTATTACATATTAGTGCTTTGACTTTACAGCATACAACAAACACAGCATCAGAAATCCTAAATATGGTATCTCTTTTTAGCGATTGAGATTTTATTTCAAAGTACTTCATGTAAAAACAAGTACTGTGTTTCTAAGGGTACATTAACATATAACTGAATTCTTAAGGAGGGCTTTGCAATTTTGTTATCATTATAATGTAAAAAAGGCCAGCTCAGAATTGTTTAAGGTCACAGTGGAAGTCAGAACTTTGGACCGAAGGCTAGAATTTAAGTGTTTTCTTTCCGAGGGAATATACTGAAAATAAGATGGGCCCACCCTTTTGAGTAGATATATTTGTTTCCATCTTACAGAGGAGGAAACTGAGAGGCCAAGGGACTTGCCTAAAGACACAAAGCAGTCACATAATAGAGTTGGGAGTGCAACCCAGAGACTCCTCTAAGCTGATAATGAAGTTTTTTAAGATTTTAAAATACATAGCCATGTAGCTTTCTCACAGGACAAGGGCTAGATCTCATTAGGACCAAGAAACGCTGGGTTTGTTCTGAGCATGGGCAGCAAGTTTAATGAGGCCCCAGTTCCTGAAGTCTTGCTTGACTCTTTATATCTCCAGGAGACACTTAACAAATTTAAAGTCAACGGAGCAACATTAATTGCCAAGTGAGTGATCATGTTGACCTAAAAAAAAAAAAAGAAAAAGAAAAAAAAAGAAAAGTAGGAAGAAAAAGGAAGAAAAAAAGGAAGAAAAAAAATTAGGAACAATTTCAAATCTGTAGGGTAAGAAAAAAAACCTCAGTAAGAAAATCCAGGAACACATTTCCCAGTATACCATGTCTGGCTATCAAGACAAACACATCACAAGGCATACCAAAAGGCAAAAAGCACACACTGAAGAGGCAGAGCAAGCATCAGAGCCAGGCATGGCAGGGATGTTGAAATTATCATACTGGGAATTTAAAGCATCTATGACTAATATGCTAAGGATTCTAATGAATAAAGTGGATGGCATGTCCATGCAAAAACATGGGCAATGTAAGCAGAGAAAAGGAAATCCTAAGAAAGCACTAAAAATTAAATACTAACGATTAAAAAAATAAAACAGAAGTGAAGAATGTCTGTGGTAGGCTCATTAGTAGACTGGATATGGCTAAGGAAAGAATCTGTGAGTGAGAGAATATGTCAATAGAATCCTCAACAATGAATACATTCATCCCTATACGCTAGTCCAAATCTATAGAATGTATAACAGCAAGAGTGAACCTTAACGTAAACTCTGAACTTTGGATGATTATGATGTATCAGTGTAGGTTCATCTTTGGTTTAAAAAAAGTACCATTATGATGAGTGACAATAATGAGAGATACTATGCATGTGTGGGGGCAGTGGGCATGTGGGAAATCTCTGTACCATCTCAATTTTCTTAGAAACTTAAAACTGCTCTAAAAATGAATTGATAAACACACACCAAAAAAGGAAAAAAAATAGGAAATTATGAGGGAAAAAACAAAACAAAAAAAAAATCCAACGTGTTCAAGTCCCAAGAGTAAGGATATGATGAAATAATTGGAATGTAATAAAACCAATTATTTTGTTTCTTAATTACACCTTTAAAATTCAAAACAAAATTGTTTTCTGCAACTATTTGGATTACTATTTGCTAACAGAGCACCATAATTGGCACCCATGGGTGACAACAAGACTTAATATTGTCCAAAAATCAAACACCTGATAGATTTGCAACTTGCAAATTAAATATCCAGAGAACAAACTATAATGAAAATAAAACTGAGTAAATTCACTTCTTTTGCTGGCTATTACAAGCAAATCACTCAACAGCTACTTCAATGTCCATATTTTCTATTTCAGACAATGATAATACATTCAGCCAAGTATCAGAAGATCTGAGAAGCAGACTTGAGGTCCTGAAACGCAAAGTCACAGAACAAGTACAGCAAATCCATCTTCTGCAGAAAAACGTCAAGACTCAGCTGGTAGATATGAAACGACTGGAGGTAAGGAAGTGTGTGGCTCTGTCACTAGATTTTCTTATTTTTGACTACCAGGTAAAAGATAGGCAATAGTCATTCACTGGAAAGCCTACTATATGTAGAGCAAAGTGTTAATATAAATCGCTTATCTACCTACAAAGTAGGTATTATTCTCTCACCATACAGATGAAGTAAAAAGCTCAGTGATGCTAAGTAAAACTTCCCAGGGCACATAGAGGATAAATTTCAAAATCAAATATTCAATCCTTGCTTGTCTTATTCAAATTCCTGATGCTGCCAAGCCACTGAGCCCTTAGGCTCACTGAAAATCACTTCATTAGTGGTTTCTTTCAGAGGGAATAGCAGTTTGCTCTTAATCTGCTCTAAGATTGTATTATGAATCCAAATAGTTCCTACTGCTTCTTCAGACTAGCCTTACAATACCCAGCATCTCTTCCACTGAGGATACTACATAAATGGAAAATAAAGTTTTGGTTGGTACATCTCCAAGTCAAAGAAATGAAAACAGTTTCCAAGAAATAAATTAACTACTAAGAACTCAATAGACATCTTTTATTTATTTATATATACCTTTTTTCTTTATCTCTCCCCTCCTCTCTCTAGGTGGACATTGATATTAAGATCCGCTCTTGCCAAGGGTCATGCAGTAGGGCTGTAACACGTGGGATAGATCTACAGGACTATGAAGATCAGCAGACGCAACTTGAACAGGTCATTGCCAAAGAGTTAATTCCCTCTAGATACAGGCAACAATTACCACTGATAAAAATGAGCCCATCGTTAGACTTGGTTTCTAGAGATTTCAAGAGCCAGCTTCAGACAGCCCCTCCAGAGTGGAAGACACTAACGGAAATACAGCAGATGAAAATGGTGTTACAGAGATCTGAAACAGATGGGAACCCCCGAGGAGACTCTGCATCTTATGGAACGGATTCAACCCCTGAAAAGCCCAGGAACCCTGAACCTGGTAGTACTGGACATTGGAAACCAGGCAGCTCTGGACATAGTGGTGCTGGCACTTGGGACTCTGGGAGTTCCAGACCGAGTGGCACTGACACTTGGAGCCACACAAGTGTTGGGACGGGAAGTTTTAGGCCAGATAGCTCAGTGCATGGGAACACCAGGCCTACCAACCCAGACTGGGGCACATTTGACGAAGATTCAGGAAGTCTAAGTACAGGGACAAGGAAAGAGCACTACCACACAGATAAACTGGTCACTTCTGAAGGAGGAAAAGAGCTTCTGATTAGGAAGGAGAAAGTCAGTTCTGGTGGCCCAACCTCTGGCCATCGTTATTCCTGTTTCAAAACCATTACTAAGACTGTTACAGGTGCTGATGGTCGCAGAGAAGTGACCAAAGAGGTGGTGAACTCTGAAGATGGTTCTGACTGTGGGGACGCAGCCGATTTAGGCTCGTTTACTCTTTCTGGCAGGGGTAGCCTAGATGATTTGCGTTTGAGGTTCCCTGAGGAGGCTGCTCTCCTTGACCTTGACTCAACTGGAAAATTACTCTCCTTACCTCTGGTCAAAGAATTTGAGAGTAAGACCCAGCATATGGGCTCATCTGACACTTTCACCGACTTAGGGGAGACCAGCTCTCGCCACGTCAAAGAAACTTCTCTTGACGTCAGAGGAACTCGTACCTCCACCAGAAGCCGTAGTAAAACTCGCACGACCAGAGGTATCCGCACTTCTCCTTTGGGGAAGCCTTCCCTGACCCTCTAGAATAGGTTAATTATTTTTGCAATGTGCTCCCACAGCATTTTGCACTTCTTTCCTAGCCCTCTCTCATGCTTTATTAAAATCACACTGTTTTGTTCTTCATGCTAGACTGTAAGTTCCACGGGGGCAGGGACTTCGCCTGTCATGTTCATTTCTGTGTTCTCAAATACCTACTAGTGGAGAGGGTCACCGCTCAATAAATACATGTTAAATGAATGAATCCCTCTGAAACTCGATTTTGAGTTTGTTTAACCAAATTCTTTTACTGTTCAAAATATGCATTGTTGGAATTTTCACCCAATTTATTGAACGTATTTTTTAGAGTGGCTCTCACTTGAAATTGAGATCAGGGTAAAAACAAGTTCTATTAGTGATAAATGATGCTTAGTTATATTTTCTGGTTATTTGCTATTAGTCAGTACATGCAAGTAAAATTCCAAATCCATTCAGGAAAGCCCCTTTGTAATTTGTAGATGTAAATGCCACTTATATGCTTATGATTTATTCCAATGTAAGTGTATTTTTTCTCCACAGAGGGAAGGAAGGAAGAAAGAAGGGAAGGAAGGAAGGGGGGATAGGAGGAAGGAAGGAAAAAGGAAGAAAAGAAAGAACATATAAGGAAAGAAAGGAAGGAAGGAGGAAAAGAAGGAAGGAAGAAAGGAAGGAAGGAGGAAAATGAAAAAGGAAGGAAGGAAGGAAGCTAAAAGGAAGGAAGGAAAGACAGGAAGGAGGGAAAGGAAGGAAAGAAGGGACGGGAAAGGTAGGTAGGAAAAGGAAGCCAGTATGTGCCTTCGTTTAGTCTGGGCCATTCCTATCTTTGTAAAGTTAAATGAGAGTAACTTCTTCCAACCAGCTTAATTTTTTTTTTAGACTGTGATGATGTCCTCCAAACACATCCTTCAGGTGCCCAAAGTGGCCTTTTCAATATCAAGCTACCAGGATCCAGTAAGATTTTTTCAGTTTATTGCGATCAAGAGACCGGTTTGGGAGGATGGCTTTTGATCCAGCAAAGAATGGATGGATCACTGAATTTTAACCGGACGTGGCAAGACTACAAGAGAGGCTTCGGCAGCCTGAATGACAAGGGGGAAGGAGAATTCTGGCTAGGCAATGAATACCTCCACTTACTAACCCTGAGAGGCTCTGTCCTGCGGGTTGAATTAGAGGACTGGTCTGGGAACCAGGTTTATGCAGAGTATCACTTGAGGGTAGGCTCTGAGGCAGAAGGCTACGCTCTGCAGGTGTCTTCCTATGAGGGCACTGCGGGCGATGCTCTGATTGAGGGTTCTGTGGAGGAAGGCACAGAGTACACTTCTCACGCTGGCATGCAGTTCAGCACCTTTGACAGGGACGCAGACCAGTGGGAAGAGAACTGTGCAGAAGTCTACGGAGGAGGCTGGTGGTACAACAACTGCCAGGCGGCCAATCTCAATGGCATCTATTACCCTGGGGGCTTCTATGACCCCAGGAACAACAGTCCGTATGAGATCGAGAACGGAGTGGTCTGGCTCCCCTTCAGAGGAGCAGACTATTCCCTCAGGGCTGTCCGCATGAAAATCAGGCCCCTGGTGGCCCAGTAAGCTCAAAGAGCGGAAATGAGAGCGCTCTGTTTTGTTGAGTGAAGTGGAGAAAAACAATAAGGAAGATAAAGGAGTCAAGATTCTCTACAACCGAAAAATTCCCAGGTGCTATTTTATTATTTTTTTTTGTACTGTAGCTAAATGTAACTGAGACATATTAGTGCTTAAAGAAAATAAAGTTATGTGATTTTTTAAATCTTTACAACAGCTCTGTGAGTTTTAAAATTTCTAACAGGAGACACCAAGGGACATTCAGTACATCAGAAAGAGGGAGTCAGATAAAAGCTCCTCTCTGCAACCTTTGAGGGTCTTGTTTGGAGAATTCCCACACCATTCAAAGTCATAGGGATAGTGTGAAGTGAAAAAGTCGCCCTGGCCGGTGTGGCTCAGTTGGCTTGATCATCATTCTGTAACCAAAGGGCAGTGGGTTTAATTCCTGGTCAGGGCACATACCTAAGTTGTGGGTTCAACAACCTCCCCCCACCAGCTGGGTGTATAAGAGATTTCCGATGTTTCTCTCTCTCTCCCAAACAATGAAAAAAAATGTCCTCCAGGGAGGCTTAAGAAAAAAGTTATTTCCTATCCCATTTGAGAGATTTTAAACAACGTTTTAAGTTGCAAAGCACTAAGTTTGACAATGGCTGGCTTTTGCAGAAGAATTTACAAAGCTCTTTTATCTCTTCTGCTAGTAAGCAAATCCAGGAAGGCAGGAGAAGCCCTCTGTTGGAATAGAAATAGAAATCTATTCATAATGAAGACCACAATGCACACTTAATATTTTCCCTAGAGTCTAACCAATTCATTTCCCAAAAAATTACCTGGAAAAATGCATTTAAATTTTTAAAAGTACTTATAAGTATTCCAAAATACAGACTGTACTTACTCTTTGATAAATAATTTTCACAGCATTCATTTTACTTTATTTTTCTACCAGTCATAAAGTATAGTCTGTGATATATTAGTTGTCATTAAAATAAAACATTTGTTTGAAAGCACCTCACTAAAAATGATCTATACTATTCATAAATTCAACATACTTACATTGGTTACTATTTTGTTTTTATCTAAGTTGCATCTCTGATCTTGGTGGCCTCAGCTCCTGTTCCCGGTTTTTAACTCATATTTTATTCTAGTGAGTACTAGTTGCCATTTATTCTTAAAAATGTATTAAAATATCCCAAGCATATTGTGATCCCAGTACATTGCACTCAACTGCATAGTTTCTATCCCAATATAATTGCATCCTTTCTACTTGTAAGGAAAGGAAAGAGAGGAAGGGAGGGATGGAGGGATGGATGGAGGGGGTGGACAGGCAGGAGAGCAAAGAAGGAAGGAAGGGGCTGGCACTAGGGACCAGAGCCTGCGAAAAGAGAGCAGGAGGACTTGCAGATGAGTCACATGTGAAGCCTCAGTACTCTTGCTTTTCCTTATGTGCAATTAAAAGTCCTTACTACAAATAAGTGATACATCTCCAAATCTTTGGATACTTGCATAATAACTTCTTCTGAATTAGAAGTTTCCTTTACTTCAGACAATGAACTTCCATGTTATCTCTATGCCCACCGTGTAGACACTCACACACATACCTCTTCAGAACTTGATTTGTAGGAAGACTTTTATTTTCCAGAACAGCACACTGTTAGGGACAGAATCAAATCCCAAAATGAGAGTGACTCTGAATGTGAAGGGTCATTTATTTCGCATTTATTTTGAAGACTTTGTGTTCATTAGCAAAGAATAGGTAACTTCTTTTAATAAACAGCTAGCATTAGTACAATCATGAAATTAGAGATATACTTTGATTGTCAGAAAAGACACCAAACATCTCTTTCCCATGTTACTTTATCTTTAACCTGTTGCTCTATTTCCTTTGTTCCTCAAATTAAATATTAATTCAACTTCTCTGATTGTCATTTACATGGAAACCCACTTTACTGGTTTTCACTTGGTTATCACTCTCTTGAAATTGCTCTTCTTAAAGTCAACAATAACTTTGTAGTTCTAAATTTAGTTTCCTACATTCAGGCCTCTTCTCACTCGACTTCTTTTAAACATCTGCTACTACTGTCCCTATCCTTCTCTTCAATCTATATTTTTCTCTTGTTTCTCATATATCACTGCCAACCGTGTCACTTTTCCTTAGTCTTTTAAACTGGCCAATTCCTTCTTAGACCACTCCTTAGATGGAGCAGTTTCTCCTTACAATAATATTAGTACTCATTTTTATCAGTTACAACTAGATTTGACCCACGTGGCTTAAATAAGACAGAAACTTATTTTCAGGCCACAGAAATGTCTTCAGGAACATGTCCCTGCAGTGTCTTCAGGAAGCCATCATCCTAATAAATGGCTTCCATTCTCAGGTTTACCTCATGGTTTAAACATTATGTTCTGTGGAAATCTGGAAGAAAGATGAAATGCAGAAGTAAAAACAAGTACCTTCTTTCTTTGAAGGTAATTTCCTTGATGTCCCTAACAGCACTTCCTCTTAAATCTCATTAGCCACAGGTCAGTCATATAGACATACCTAGCCATGGGAGAGGCTGAGACATCTGACTCTTAGTTTAGATACAGGATGATTGCCATCCTACATACAGACTCTTAGTTTAGATGTTGGATCCTGTTACTAAGGAGGAGAGAGAGAACAGATGTTGAATAGGCAGTAAGCAGCTTAGCCAGGCCCTCTTTTCTCACCCTATGTGTACGTTTTCTCATTGATTAGTTTGACAATCACCATAGTTTCAATTGCCATCAGTAGGTTGATGATAGCCAAATCTAAAACTTAAGTCCTGACATTCAGATCCATTAGTGCCACTAATACTGAATGCTTCCAGTTAGATATTTCTCATTAATTTAAGATCAAATCAATTACCTTTCATCAAAACCTATTGCATCTCCTCTATTTCTTGTTCTAGTCAGAGGCATCCTTAGGCCTCCAGTTTCTGAATTTAGAAAATTTGGGCTCCTTCTCAGCTTCTTTATTAAAATTCCTACATTCAATCTACTCCAAAACCATCTCTTACTCTGGAATTGGCCATTCTAACAGCACTTTTGCGTTCTTATGTAATCTTGTGTTAATTTTTCTGATTTAGGCTGCTCAAAAGTCTCTTAACCTCTTGCTTTACCATGCTTCTTTTGTTCGTTCTCCACAAAGATACCTTTTAAAAAGTAAACCCAATCATGTCTTTCTTTTGTTTAACACCTTTTCTTAAGGTTGAGTTAAAACAGAATGAAAGAACAAACAAAACAGATACACAGAAAAGAAGAACAAGTTGGTGGTTACCAGAAGGAAGGGAGTGGAGGGATGGGTTAGAAAAGGTGAAGAGGAATAAGATGCCTGCATTTTGGGGATTCTTGGGATATATTCCCAGAAGTGGGATTGCTGGGTCAAAAAGGAGTTCCATTTTTAATTTTTTGAGGAAACTCCACACTGCTTTCCACAGTGGCTGCACCAGCTGATTCCAACCAGCAGTGCACCAGGATTCCCTTTTCTCCACGTTCTCACCAGCACTTGTTGTCTGTTGATTTATTGAGGGTAGCCATTCTGACAGGTATGAAGTGATATCTCCTTGTGGTTTTAATTTGCACCTCTCTGAAAGTCAGTGATGTTGAGCATATTTTCACATGTCTATGGGCCGTCTGTATGTCCTCTTTGGAGAAGTGTCTGTTCAGGTCCTTTGCTCATTTTTTAGTTGGATTGTTTACTTTTATTTTACATTTACTTAAACATGAGAATATTATATATAGCATTTGATTCTAATTGGCATTACTGATCTAATTATACTCTATCATGCGTTCTTCTTATAACCAACAAAATACATTTCCAATTTAGTTAGCTGACATGAGGGGTGCAGCTCGTGAATTAGAACAAGACCCATCCAGCCAAGCTCCCTAATTGCCAATCATGTCTAGAAAGGCCTGAAAGAAAGGCCTTAATATAAAATATAAGTACACACAAGTCGCAAATATCATAAACTAAGTATTAGTTATACTTGAATGAAGTAATGCAACATTTATGATTTACTGAAACAACTTGAGAAGAAGCAACATTTGGATTTTGGTAGCCATGAGCATTATACAAACTGCCTGTAGTAATGAAATTTACACAGAAACCATTTTGAAAAGACCATACTTTATTTACTTATTCATGCATTTATTGATTAACCTACACCTTATTTTTAATTGAATCCCAACTATTTTATAAAGCTGGGTATGGAGAATAATCTTTAATAAGGGGAGAGAAGGCAAGGGCTTTAAACTTCATGGATGGGGGAGCACGGTAAGGAATTTGCATAGTATTTCAAATTAATTCTTATACAAGAGCTAGACATTATGTCTTCCATTTCCACATTGTAAAAGCAACGCTTTGAAACTACAGAGGCAAGAAACTTTAAGGTTTGAACTGATTAAGCAGTAGTCAGCTATTAAACAGTGGTCTCCCTGTGCATCAGCTCGGAGGTGAAGGTGGCTACATGTGGATTGCAACAGAGCACTCTAGAAAATATTTGCTAAATCCACCTTTGACTCTATCTACCCTAGGCCAGTGACCTCAAGGTTGCATGCCTACATAAGCTGTTGCAAAACTGCATTGAAAGTATATCCTTTGGAGAGATAATGCAAATGTTGCAAACAACTGGTGAATCTAGGTGAAGGACATCAAGGTATTCATTAAACCATTCTTGTCATTTCTCTGTAAGACTGAAACTGCTGAAAACAAAAAGTTGTTGGAAAACTATAATTCAGTCCATACACAAAACAGAAAACATGTCACCTATTGGTCACATCTTGGTTGCCAAAAGAGAGAAAGAGCACAGAGGTTAATACTGGTACCAGTTAAGACTTGTTGCATAAGCATATGATTCTCCCAGTCTAATCACTTAGGAATAAAATATTTGAATACACAGAAGATACTATCATATTTCTGATTGCTATCCTACATACAAAAAAAGAATGGTTAAGAATTTATATAAAAGATGATTATGTTAATAGAAAACTGAGGAAAGAATGTAAAAGATAATTCTCAAAAGATAAATGATCATTAAACATATTAAAATCTCTTACTTGCACTAATTATTAAAGATATGAAAATTAAAGCAATTGTCAATATTTTAATTATAATATTCAGAATTAGGAAGGAAAAATAAAAAAACATCTGTAATTCTGTGTGCCAAATGTAAACTGATACAATTTTTCTGGAGAGTTATT